ACCAAACTGAAAAAGATCCCAAAATAGTAAAAAGGGACATGTATGTTATATGTAACTTTTCCTTACTATTATTTTGATAAGATAACTTTCTTTATGTTATCTTGTTATCATCAAATAGGGGGAGATTGTTGATCCTCTCTCTCAATAAGATAATCTCTTTTCTCTTTCATGTTGTATTTGTGTTTCTGTATTTTCAGCTCCAGCGATCATCACTGAGTATGTTCAGTGATCGCTGAAGAACTTGCATTGTAAATTCATCAGAGACAGCAATACTTCAAGAAGACAACACTCACACCAAAGAACCTTCAGCGAACGTCGAAGACTGAAACTGAAGATTAGAGATTGGCGAGTACGTGATCTGAAGCGGTATTCAGTGATTACATGTCTGACTACATATGTGTGAAGACTGCTCTAGCTTCAACGAATGATGATGAGACCTCCAGGTCATTCTAGCATTCAGCGATCAAAGAAAGCTTGCTTAGCACGATTGTTGTTGTCTTGTCCTTATGCACACAAAGGACAAACCCATACCCTTGCAAAAGTTAGTACGGTACGGAGCCGATTAGTCGACTCTTTGTCCACCAACTTTAGGCAAGGATGTCTGCTCAAAAATAGTGCTTTTGTACTATTTACTGTAGCAAAGGACAAGCCTTCCTCTTAAGGGTGCGTTTGGTGCGCAGACAGGACTGGACAGGACAGGACGGGACAGGACAGCTGTTCAACGTTTGGTAAGACAAGACAGGACAAGACAGAACATGCTAAAATGACCAATTTACCCCCAGCAAAATCGTTTCAATTGAATCAGGCGCAAACGCACCAAACGCACCCTAAGGCTTGACACGCACTCTAAACCTACCATATTGCATTAAATGTTCATTTAATGCTCAAAAATAGTTATGTTAAAATAAGAAAATAGGGATTTTAGCATTTTTGTTGCTCCAACGATTATGTTATCTTTTATGTTAAAATAGGAAAAAGAGGAGAGAGATTGTAAAAATCTCGAAATTTGAGAAAATCTCCAAAACTCTATAGAAGATAGAGAAATAATATTTTAGTTATATCGAACCAATTAAAATTTCTGAAGTTAAATCTGTAGGAGAGAGAAATAATATTTTATTAAATTGTAACGGATACTTTTATTAATATAGTTAATATTAGAATTGCTAAAATAAATTAGATGATATAGTTGCTTATAAAGATTTTGACTTTCCATACTTATTAGAAGAAAATATAGCATGCTTATTGAAGATGCTCTTACTAATACAATAAAATATTAAAACCATACAAATTTATAAAAAATAAAATTAAATAAAAGCATAATTATTAAAACATCTTTAAAAGATTTCCAAAAATATCTCCAATATAGAGAACCAAAATCCAAAATCTTCAAAAACAAATTACATTAATCTTCGACAGATTATGCATTTTGAGGAATCTAACATTAATTATAATATTAAAATATTTCATTCATTTATTATAAATATTATTTTTCCCTTTTAATAATTATTTCCAAAGGTTTTTATTGATAGAAATTTGTTAAAAGAATATTTTGGTATTATTTTTAGAGTGTTATCCGTATTTGAGGGGAAAAAAACTCTCTTTTTTACCTTCTCTTAAAACACAAAATTGATTGAGAATGTTTGTTTTTTTTTTTTCGAAAAATCTAATGCTCTTAGAATGTATTGCAAGAATTTCAAATATATATTGGAGACCCATAAATATAAAATATAAAATATTAAATATTAAATTTAAAAATAAATCCACCCCAAACCCATCATAACTTGTTGGATTTTGTGTTTGCCATGTTAAAACCTTGTTTTCTGTACCGACCCTTCTCTTTCACTTCCATCTCCATCCCACTTCCAAATCCTCCTTGAAATTCTCTCACATTCTTTGCTCTTGCCATTATCTTCTCACCACCACGTGAGCTTCATCACCAGAATCGGGTCAACAGTGACACGAGGTGACAGTTCTTCTCGTTATACGCAACTGAAACCAAATAAAAGAAAGTGGGGAGGAAGGTAAATCACCAAACAGATTATGAGTATGCTAAATGCTAATTAACAAAGTAGAAATTGGTGACGATCTTTAAAAACACTCTCTTTCTGTTTGTTTACATGCAAAACTTGGTACCAAAATCTGATTAATGGCTCATCCTTTGACCAAGTAGAATGTTCATAATATTTTCTTGCTGTGTTCATCTCCTTTCCTTCATGGTCATCTTTTTCTTATATCACATACTTCCTTTGTGTTTTGGTAGCCAGTGATACATTTTGAGTTTCTGTGGTACATGGAGGCGAATTTAAACTCATGCAAGGAGAATTTACAAGAACTTGAAGAAAAGGGTGCCCAGAAAATTTCAGCTTTCGATCAGAATTTTAACATGAAATCTGCAGATAGCTTCACACTGGATATGGAACCTTTCTCTCAAGATGTCACCCTTACTTCAAGAATTAATGTAAGTAAGTAGTTGGTAATTATTGAACTGTTGGATTGTTAATAACTAGTACTATTTAATGAAATTAAGATTTATTTAATAGAAAAAGACAATCAAGATTGATACAAACTGTTTTATGATATTAAATAATCATCATTCCAACTATGCCGCTTTTGCAATCAAGTCAGACCTTTGCCCAAAAACCAAGTTTTAGACTTTTGTTGTACGCTAGTTAAAAGGTTATGAATTATTTTACCAATTCTTTATAAGGGCTTGGATATGTAAAAAATATTCCATTTTCTTTTTCCTTTTAAATTGCAAAAAGATATTTATCGGGAAGACACCAAACTGCATGACTATAGAGCAAATATACAAAGAACACTGGTTTACTTGTTTTAAGATCAAAATCCACTTGATTATTGAGTTCATATGAATCTCTCCATCAAGTCAGGAATAGATATATCTATATATATATATATATATATATATATATTAATTTTGTTAAAACATTTTAATGAAAACGTAGACACGATCCTTTGTAGCAGAATTTCTATATAATATTACAATTTTTTAAATTTATATTTGTAATTTTTTGAATTCAACTTTTAAAGGTAATATTTGTTGATCGCACCTGAAATTTGTGTTTATCACATAAAGGAGATATTTTGTAATAAGTAACAAAATTGAGTTTGTATAAGTAGAAAATATGGTAAAAAAGTATTTTGCTTGTATACTCATTCTTTCCTCATGTGGATATTTTTAGTTGCAGAGAAGTCTATCAAGAAAAGGGTCACAAACAGGAGCCGAGAGAAAGATGAATTCAAATTGTGTTATGAATGATGGCGAAAGAGATGCTATCCCCTCGCCTAAAGGTGACTGCTTTTGGTTTTTCTAATTCAAATATTTGATGTTTTTGCGTTATTCCTTTTCTTTGAATCAATGGGACAAATAATTTGACAAAACATCGCCTTTCCTGCTTCATATTCTAAAACCAGAAAAGTAACATTATGTGGCTTATAGAAATAGAACAAGACACACCTCATCAAGATATATACATATATATATACATATATATATATATATATATATATATAGGGTTGGGTTCACGTGAGACCAAGGGTTTTTCGTGAGACACGTAAGACCAAGGGTTTTTCGTGAGATCCGTAAGACCAATTTATATTCATTAATCAACTTTATAAACTAATGATCCAATAGCCTAAAGTTGCACGGTGGCAATTTTATGATTATTGAGAAGTCTCGTGGCAATTTTGTGATTATGAATGTTCAGATTGTAGATCTAATCCAAGGGTTGAGAATTGGTCTTATGGGTTTCACGGAAAACCTTTGGTTTCACACGATCCCAAATCTATATATATATTGTAGGAACCTAATCAAATCAACTGTTTTGTTTGTAGTAACTGTGAGATCCAATCTCAACCACAAATCAAATGTTAAATTAGAAAATTAATAATTTTGGTAAATTTAGCTTACTATACTAATTAAGGGCATTTAGGGATTTTATAAATATCTTCTCTCATCTCTCCTCTTTCCTCTCTCCCACGAATCTTATTCGGCGAACCGTATTTCGATAAACCTTATGTGAACACAGGATACACACTGTGATAATTATAAACAATATTCAATGTAATACTCAGTATATACATACAAGATGCATAATGTGATATCCTTTGTAAAACAATGAAAATAACGAAAATGCACACTATGATACATTACATAAAACAAAGAAAATACATTGTGATACACTTGAAACATTGTGCACGTTATCACTATGATACATTTTAATTCACAAGGGTCTTTAAAATACGATGTATATTAAGTAATTGGTACATACTGGTAACTAATTTTAATTAAATATTTTCTTCTAAAAAATTTAATTAAATAATTTGATTTGTTGTCAAAAATAGAATTACTATATTACCAGATTCGTTTATGTAAGAAATATCCTTAAATATCTCAAACTAGTTGTTCACATTGGATCTCACGATTACCACAAACTAATCAGTTCTCACTTGAATGAGTCCCTATATATATATATATATATATATAGATGTGTGTGTGTGTGTGTTTGTGTATGTGTGTGTGTATAGGGTTGAGTTGGTTTCCGGTGAGAAGAGAAGTTAGGGTGAGAAATGTAAGAAGGGGTCTCCATCCTTGAATCAATCATAACTGAATGTCAACACTAATGAAGTGCACCGAGATGTACGAGATCAACTCTCTTCTAAAGCGTAATTCATGGGTAAGCATGAGATTAAAAGTAAGCAAGAGTTCAGATATCTTCTTACGATTCTCACCATAACTTCACTCACTTCACTTTTCACACGATACTTCGTGTATATATATATATATATATATGTGTGTGTGTGTGTGTCTATATATATATATATAGAGAGAGAGAGAGAGAGGCACAATCAAGCCAAAAACGGTCAATTTATAGAAATATGAGAATTAAAATCACATGTGATACAAGATATCCAAGAGAACAAGGAAGGTTAATTGGTCAACACTACCAAGTGGGTGGTCAATGAAATATGTTAGTATCACATGTGATCACATGTTTTGTATTAGATATGATCTTGGAATCGTTTTCTATTGTCACAAATTGACTATTTTCTTATTTGAGTGTGCCCTTATATATGTGCTAATCATTTTATTTTATGAACCCACAAAATTATGAGAACTTTAAAAACAAATGTGTCATGTGTTATTCCACATGATTTTTTATTTAATGTTGTAATTTCACGCTTTGATTGACATTTATTTGTTTCATATATAGTTGTTTCATTTTATGAAAAATTTTACGTGTTTGTAAAACAAACAAGAAGTACTGCAAAAGAGTTTCTCAGTTGAACCCAAACACCTACAAATAAACACATTGTGCATCAAATATATGTTGTTTTATAAATATCTTAAATCTTATTTATAGATGAAAAAATTCTTATGAAGCAATATTTTGATGTAAGTAAAATTTTTCACAGTTACCATCATATATGAGAATCTGATTAATTTACGTGTGTGTGTATATGTATGTATATTTAAATGAGAAATGTAAAATATTGATTAGGGTTTAATTTTGAAATAATCTTAACATGGATTTAAGCATTTATTATAATTAATTACAATGAACTCTGCAAAGATTATATGTGTCGTTATTAACTTGGATGATTGCAAAAGATCAATTAATTTTTTGTAGTCATAAAAAAGTAGTGGAGATGACAGAATGTCATTACTTTTTGTTTCTATGTTGACGCATCTTTTTATTTTGTATTCGGCAGCTTGTTCGATGGCTGGTACCATGCTAGAAAAGATGGTTATAGTCGATCAGACCACCGACCACATCACTAAACCACAAGCCCAGCATCAAATTGCCATAATGACCAGTGGCTCCACCACCACAATCGAAGCAGCTGGAACACCAACCAAATTCAGTCTGTCTGTGAAGAGATCAAGCAGTTTTAAGCAATCATCCCTTCTCAACCCTCCAAGAATCCTCTTCTTCTTTGCCACCTTGTAAGTTCAACACTCAGTTCCCGTTAGTTTACTAATGACAACAAACTTCATATTTAACAGTACTAAACAATTTATATATATGTAAATTTCGACAGATCAATCTTGGGAACCATCATACTTATTTGCCTCACCCTTTCCATGGAGATGACAACTCGGACGCAACTAGCCTAACTTAGCATCAATAATGTGTATGGGTGCGTGGCAACTATTTAGCTTTTAATCTCTAGGCGGCCTTTGTTTATAGAAAAGAAGACAAGGATGAAGGGCACTAGGACAAAGATGGGGAATCTTCTTATTAAAATATGATAGTGATTATGAATTAATGGAAGAGATCGAGTAAAAAAAAGCGAACACAGACATGGGTTTGGATACCTTTATTTGTGGCCAGAAAGTGCAATGCTTTTTCTTCCTCCATGCCTTTCTGTGCATCGAATTCTCAGTGTCCTTTGTTTGTGCAATATGAATATGCAGTTTAATTCAAATACCTCCTCTTTGTTCAATCCTTCCATGTGCGCGGTTGTAAGTACTTGGTGGATCCGAAACGAAGTTGTAAGAAATGAAATAATGTCTACTCTATGTAGTTTCTTGCATCTGAAACTAAAGCATTTCTATTGAGTAATAACCTGTTAGGATCCAAGTGCTTACCACTACGCCAAAAGCAATTGCTGGTGGAGAAGGCGCAACTTATTTCCTTATAGCGTAGCAGCCAGCGCCACGTTTCGATTTAGGAAGATGCTGGTCAATGACCCAACATAACCATCTGATATGGAAGTTAATGTGTTACTCATAGTAGTCCGTTAACCCATGCAACCGGAGGCCGAGCCAGAAAGTTAAGCGATACAACTAGGGACGTACCCAGAAAATTAATTTAAGGGGGCTAAAAACAATATAAGAAAATCTATGGTCTCAAGGTTGGTAATTCCCTTTTAAAATATATGTTTTTCTTAATTCTTATTTGTGGATATTAGGGTTGTAAATGAACCGAACAATCAACAAACCGTTAGGTAGAAAGTTCGTTTATTTAATAAATGAACGAACATAAACAAAATTTTTGTTCGTTTAGTTAAACAATGAACATGAAAAATGATTTACTTCGTTCATATACGTATGTGAACGTTCTTTCAATTTATACTCGTTTATGTTTGTTTACTTTTATTTATATATGCTTATATATAAAAATATTTTTATACTATGTAAAAATATTAATACATTAAGCTTTCAGAATTCCCTTTTTCCCTCCTAAGTTTAATTGGTTTTATATTTTGTTATTTTATTTTAAAGGAAAGAAATGATAATTAAAGGTGGTTGGCTTTTGTTCATATGTGTATGTTCGTTAATGTTGATTTATGTTTGTTTAAGTTCGTTTATTTATGTTTTATTAGCTTTTTAATGAACGAACATAAGCAAACACGAACAAGAATATTGTCCTAACGAACGAACATTAATACAAAAAGTTTCGTTCATTTATTTTTCGTGTTCGTTTGTTAATTCGGTTTGTTTACATTCCTATACATATATAGTATTTATTAAAATTCAAACAAATTACAAATTTATGTTATTTATAATTACATTTACATAAAATCATTCAAAATATAAAGTATTCAACTCTAGTTAACTAGGATAGAATTCCTTTTAGATTTGTATTATTACCTTAAAAGAATGCAAAGTTACTAGCTTACCAAAATATTAGGGCAAATTGTTTTTTATGCATTCAATGAGAGTTGTTTGTGTGTTTAAGGTTGAGGCTGGATTTTTGGTTGTTTTATAATTTAAATTTTTTTATATAAATAATGTGGAGTTGGGTGTGAAGTTGACGGTGTCTTTGCATCAGCGTGAGTAACCCCAATTTTCTACGCCACTACAAGCAACATGATACCAAAAAAAAAAAAAAAAAAAAAATTTTAGGTATTGTTTGATTCGTAAAATGTTTTTGAATGGAATGAAATGGAATGTGTTAAAGGAATTTGATTTTAAAAAGTTGGAACGGAATGTTGTCAGTTTTGATCATTTGTGTGGTTGACAGATGTTGGAATGAAATATGTTAAGGAATTAAAATTTGTTCGTTTGATTTACAGAATGTAGCTTTGTATTTGAAATTAAATATTGGTAAATGATCAAAATGTCTTTTCTTGAAAATTTTAATTTTTGTAAAACTAAAAATATTTTAATAAAATAATTATTTAATATGTAAAACAATATAAAATACACAACCCAAATATAACCATAAGCCAAATGACGTTACTAAATCGATGGTGGTCGACAGTGGTTCAGATGGCGATGGTCCACAGTGGTTTAGATCGGTCGTGGTCCGCATTGGTTTAGATCGACGGTGGCTCAGATGGAGGTGGTCAACGGTTGTTCAGATGGACGGTGGTTCAAATTGGTGGTTGTTTAAATCGTTGGTGGTCGATGGTGTCCCTAGTGGTTCAGATCGGTGGTGGTCCGTAGTGGTTCAGGTGGTTGTGTCGGATGTGGTTCAGATAGAGGGTAGATCAGATCGATGGTTGTTCAGATCGGTGATGGTCGACGGTGGTTCAGATCAGCAATGGCCGGCGGTGATTCAGATCGGTAGTAGTTGGCGATGGTTCAGATCGATGGTGGTTCCGATGGCGATGGTCGATAGTGGTTCAGATCGGTGGTGGTCCATGGTGGTTCAGATTAAGGGTGTTCGTGTTCCGGTTTGGGTTGTTTAACCTCTCTGACCACAAACTAAACTGTAATGACGGTTTATAAAATTTTCATAAAGTGTCCAGACCGGTCAAACAGTCCACGAAAAGGCGGTCTGGTCTGACCACTTTAGGCAATTTGTAACTTTAATGGCCTTTAAAAATTAAACTTAAAAAAACATATATAATTTAGAATTTTGGATTAAATTTTAATTTTAACAAAACAAAATATACAAACAAATAAATGTAATAATTAAACATTTCTTAAGTCCAAAATCCAAGCAATCCAAAGTCCAAATAAATAAATATATAATACATATTATAAAACAAACAAAGTCAAAACAGTAATGGACTTCACAAGCTTCAATTCTTGAGTCTTGAGTTCTTGACCAAACAAAATACAAGCCAAATCCTAGTGTTTAATAAAAGTCAAAACGTAATATGTAAAGTGCAAACATAGTCCACAATTTCCAATCCATAAAAATTCAATCTGTTTATCAAACATGAATAAGGAATCTGTAGAAAAAAGTGACATCATATAAATTAGAAGGATAAAAGATTGTATGAAATGTGTGAAAGAAATAGGGAACTAATCAAAGCTTACGTTATAGCGATCCAACAAATTTCTAATCAAGACTCCCAACTTCAGTCTTCAGATGGGGCTTCGATAGATTTATCTATAAAATTCAAAAATAAATTAGATAAACAACATAAATGAAAATAACGTAATCTAAAATGGAAGTAATATGAAATTAATTTAAATTGAACACCCAGTTCCGTATTTTCGTAAATATCCATCTCTTCCAAAATAGAAGCCAAATCTAATGGCAAGTTCGTAGATCTCAACCAATTTTGACAACAAATCAAAGTTTCAACCATGGAAGGACTCAATGAACTCGAAAACAATCGATAACTCTCCCTCCGGTGCTAAAAGCGGACTCTGAAGCCACTGTTGATACTTGGACAACAAGAACATCTCGAGCCAATGCCTACAAAATAGGGTACTTTGATGACGCCACTTTCCACCATTCTAAAATTTTGAAGTTGTTACTTTTCCTATCTTCACTGCGTTCACCTAGGTACCTTTCAAGTTCATTTTGCATGTCCAAAAAGTCATCTTAATTACATTCTTTGTCAAACTCAGATTCAAACATCGTGACCAAATCTTCGTCATCGAATTCTACTATTGGCACATGATCATGTGTTTGATTACACTATATGCTTGATAATCTACTTTAAGCTCACTAGTATAATGAACTTCTAGCCTTGAAAGACAACTTTTGATGGAATATGTGATAATGGTAATTTCATTCTCACTATAAAGTTGTCTAAAAATTGTAACGTATTTTAATTTGTATCTCAAATCAAGTACAATAGCCACATAAAGAAGCACACTTTGTTTGTTTGTGGTCCCTCAATAATTATCAAATTTCTTTATCATCCTTAAAGCCATTTCTTTCAAGTTTTCTTTATCACTTGAATACCATTTGTTAATCAACCCATGAACTAGTAACAACGTGTGAGAATAAATATTTGAAATAACATGCAAAGAAGCACTAAACTTTAAAGTGGAATCATAAAAAACCTTTAAAAACTTACAAAACGAGCCACATTGCTCCCAATCCTTAGACGTCGGTGGCCCAAGCAGCTTTTTTCCATTTCTATCATCTTCAATAAATTAATCATCCTCTTCTTCTAATAACTTAAAAGCATCCTCATATTTTAAAGCATGATCTAACATCAAATATGTTGAGTTCCACCTAGTAGGCACATCCAAACAAACATGTACTCTATCTTCTTTACATGTATTTTTTACACAACTTTTAAATCTTGCTAACCTAGAGGGGGACGATATAACATACCTAACTACATTACAAACAACTACAGAATAGTCCATTTCCTTCAATCCATCACCCACAATTAAGTTTAATATATGGGTTGAACACCTAACATGCAAGAATTCACCATCACAAAACGACACTCTTCCAAATTTGCAATCTTTTCTTGATATATTGAACAAACCCATTGTTAGAAGAAGCAATATCAACAGTGACAGTGAACACCCTCTCAATACCCCATTTTTTTTAAACACGTCTCAATATCATTTTCTATTGTCTCTCCTTTGTGGTTGGACACTTGACAAAAGTTCAAGATCCACTTTTGAATTTTCCAAATAGAATCTATGAAGTGGGTTGTTAATACCATATATACAACATTCTGAATAGAAGTGTTAGCTCTCATTTCACTTAATGTAAAAGTATGAAAAAAGTAAATACTGCAAGTGTTGACAGAATAGGTTCCACCACAGAAGACCACAAAGGACCAACTACAGAAGATGTTCTATCGTACAAGTGAAGTGTGACAGAACCTCTGTTGTCTATCACAG